GAGGAGGCGGAGCGCCGGGGGCAGGTGTACGACCGCCAGGGTGCCACGTACCTGTTCGACCTGGACTACGTGGAGGACGTTTACACCGTGGACGCCGCCCACTACGGGAACATCTCCCACTTCGTCAACCACAGCGTGAGTGACGCCGGCGCACCTGGCTGGGGGCGGGGCTCACCTGGCTGGGGGCGGGGCACACCTGTGTGGGGACAAGGCCTCACCTGTGTGGGAGGGGCACACCTGGCTGGGGGTGGGGCACACCTGTGTGGGGACAAGGCCTCACCTGTGTGGGAGGGGCACACCTGGATGGGGGTGGGGCACACCTGGCTGGGGGTGGGGACACACCTGTATGGGGCAGGGACACACCTGTGTGGGAGGGGCACACCTGGCTGGTGGCAGGGACACACCTGTATGGGGGCGGGGACACATCTGTGCAGGGTGGGGCACACCTGTGCGGGGACACAACCTCACCTGTGCAGGGCAGGGCACACCTGTGTGGGGACACAGCCTCACCTGTGCAGGGCGGGGCACACCTGTGCAGGGCAGGGCACACCTGTGCGGGGACACAGCCTCACCTGTGCAGGGCGGGGCACACCTGTGTGGGGGCAGGGATACACCTGGATAGGGACAGGGCTTTACCTGTCTGAGGGGCCTGGGGGCTTCATCTGTACAGGGGGAGGGGCTTCACCTGCCGGGGGGGCGGGGCCCCCCCCCCCCCCACCTGCCTTCTCAGGTGTCGAGGGCGGGACCTCCCTGGGGCTCAAATTCACACAAGGGGGGTGGGGTGGGGCTTGAAGCGGCCACACCCCCTCCACCTGTGGCCACGCCCCCCCCTCACCTGCCGGGGGCGGGGCCAGTGCGACCCCAACCTGCAGGTTTACAACGTGTTCATCGAGAACCTGGACCAGCGGCTGCCCCGCATCGCCCTGTTCGCCACGCGGCCCATCCGCGCCGGGGAGGAGCTCACCTTCGACTACAACATGCACGGTACACACCTGGGCACACCTGGGCACACCTGGGTACAGCTATCACACACCTGGGCACACCTGGGTACACCTGGGCACACCTGGGCACACCTGGGACATACCCACACACACCTGGGCACACCTGGGTACACCTGGGACACACCCATCAACACTCACACCCACCCCAGCCCCGCCCCATCCGCGCCGGGGAGGAGCTCACCTTCGACTACAACATGCACGGTACACACCTGGGTACAGCTATCACACACCTGGGCACACCTGGGCACACCTGGGTACACCTGGGCACACCTGGGCACAGCTATCACACACCTGGGCACACCCCCCCCACCCCAGCCCCGCCCCATCTGTGCCAGGGAGGAGCTCAGCTTTGACTACAACATGCATGGTACACACCTGGGCACAGCTATCACACACCTGGGCACACCTGGGCACACCTGGGTACACCTGGGTACAGCTATCACACACCTGGGCACACCTGGGCACACCTGGGTACAGCTATCACACACCTGGGCACACATGGGCACACCTGGGCACACCTGGGTACACCTGGGTACAGCTATCACACACCTGGGCACACCTGGGCACACCT